GTCCCAGTACTGATCCTTGAGGGATTCCACTGGCTTCCACTTGGACTCTTTGGGTGTGGCCGTCAAGCCAGTTCTTTATCCACTGAATTGTCCATCCATCAAATCCATATTTCATCAGCTTGGAAACCAGGATGTCATGTAGGACTCTGCTTTAGTCCCCTACAGCTCTAGACTATTTCCTTGTCATATGCTAATTGATATTATTATCATTATATACCAAAATTCTCTAGCATTCCTATTTGCTGCCTGGAATATTCCTGCACCCCTCACTTAACCGCTGTTGGTGAGATCTACTGTTTCGGTTCTAGGCATTCCACCTTCACCAGCTTGCCCCTGAAACTTCTCACTTCACTCTCTGCAAAGGAATTTAAAAGACCTACAGGGCTTTTGCTACTCAGAAACGTGAGCAAGGACTTCTCTGCAGTGAAACCATTGAGCGATACAAAGTACGATGAAGATTCCTTTGCCTTGCTAAACCTTGCGTGGGAGAGCCAAATCATTTAGCTGTTTAACAGCAGCAATGTTCTAGCAGGCTGTTGGTCTATTTCGTTGCTATCAATCATTTACCTGAGGTTGACTGTTTCTGTGATTTGCTCACCAGTGCAAACAATTGGTGCCAGATTCCATTTGTGCCAATACTAGCTAAGTGATATCAACAAAAGTCAGAAATTTGATCCCTAGCTACTATCAGTGCTTAAGTATTTTTAATCTTAAACTCCCAAGGTATTAGGAACTGTTTCATCTTTGGTAATTTATATCCTGAAAAACAGTGTAGTACTTTAATGGGATTGGTAAGGTAAACATAATACTTAATGTATTTTGTGAATGTCCAACTATCTCATTTGAGAATCTGAATAAATCTCATTCTCTTTACTCTTACTGAACTGTATTAAACAATCATTTCAGGTGTGTGGCTACTGAGCCTGTAGAAGTTGTTGCATCAAGCAGTCAGCTCTTCCACACCATATTTTTAACATACTGTTGAGAAATGTGGAATGAATTTCACTACCCAATGCAATTCTAATGCTTTGCCATTACTACTCATGTTGCTGCAAAGATGTCATAGAATCATGGGATGCAGAGAAGGTCATAGCACATTGCCTTATGAGGCTAACTAAAAATATCTCTATTTTTCTTAACTCTCAACTACAATAAAACTGTCAGAAATTGTATCTTTGTCTTTCAGTACATGACTGTGTGAATGGCCAGAATGAACAAAATCTTTGAGGACTCACCTCCAATGACTTGTCCTTATGTAGTAACTTTTGAATAACCTCCAAAATATTTAGCTTGTTAATTACCAGTGCATCAAACACTGCATTCAAACCCTGTGCAACCAAGAGAAAAGTAAGAGCATAAGATGGAATAGCTCACCACAAATATAATTTGTTTTAAATACATCTTAAATTCCATTTCTACTACGAGTTACACCTTAATTCTGATTCCAAGCGGAGACGTACATTGGTAGAAATTATGGCAGAATGGTAAACTGAGAATCTGAGCTCAGATGAATCATAGAATCATAAAGGTTGGAAAGGACCCCAAGATCATCAAGTCCAACCTACAGCCCTACAACACCCTGACACTAAACCATCTCCTGAAGTGCCACATGCAGCCATTTTTTAAACACGTCCAGGGATGGTGACTCCACCACCTCCCTTGGCAACCCATTCCAGTGCTTCACCACCCTTTTGCCGAAGAAGTTTTTCCTAATATCCAAACTAAACTTCCCCTGGTGCAACTTGAACCCATTCCTTCTTGTCCTGTTGCTATTCACTAGGGAGAAGAGGCCAACACCCGTCTCACTACAGCTGCCTTTCAGGTAGTTGTAGGGAGTGATAAGGGCTCCCCTCAGCCTCCTCTTCTCCAGGCTGAACAGCCCCAGCTCCCTAAGCCTCTCTTCCTAAGACTTACCCTCTAGTCCCCTGATCATTCTGGTTGCCTTTCTCTGTACCTTCTCCAGCACCTCAATGTCCTTCCCGTACTGTGGAGCCCAGAACTGCACACAGCACTTGAGGTGTGGTCTCACCAGTGCCCGGTACAGAGGCAGGATCACTTCCCTGGTCCTACTGGCCACACAGATGAGTAGAGTATCATGTTATTGTAATGCAGATTCTCCTGCTACATGGAATAACCCTTCGGGGAATACCATGTACCAGCAAGCTAGATCCTGTATACATGGTCACAGTAATATTCTGCTCTCCATCTTCTTTCCCAAATGCTTAACAGCATAAATGCTGCAGTCAAAAGACAATGCTTTCCTCAGAAAGGTGCAGGTTCTTTAAGTCTTCCACTTATTTTTTGCTGTGCAAAATTGTATCTTTTGACTGTCAGGTTTCAGAAATACTATTTTTAAAGGGTACATAAATTGTTACCACAATAAAAAGGCTCAGATTTACCTGAGGTATTAGGCTTTTCTTGCAGTTGCACCAATATACATACAGTGGAAGTTGCTGCAAAGTTCTATGTGACGTCAGCCACTACACATAAAACTAGAGCATATTCAGTGCTTTGCAGGACTACACTTGTATGTATTACTCCCAAGGAAGCAAACAAAACAAAACCAGAGGTAATTCTGTTGAGGTGATAAGCAAAATCCAACTTTAACATTTTCCCTTAAATCTTTCAAGTAATCACCAACCATGAGGATCCTTGAACATTTAGCTTACATCCTAATAACTTTGGAAATTACCTCAATGTTCAGAAGACTAAATGGAAAAAAAGACAGTAAAAATAGTTGCAGATGAGGCAAAGAGATAGTACACTGGAGAGGTTGCAAGTCTTTTTCTAACAGTCAGATGAAGAAGACAGAAGATAGGTTAGAGAGTGGTGTTAATCCACATAGAAAGGCCACCTGTCAGTTAAAAGGCTTTTGGTGGAGTTAGGAAGGCAAGAATCCTTTTAAATACATTCAGCCTACAAGCAATCTTTTTATTGTGATTTATCCCTTCATCCCTCTGACCTGTGCCCCTCAGCACAACAATAAATAAATCATCCTAGCAATGCAACCATAAACAAATAAAAACCACAGATCCAATAACAACTCTGTGTCTGCTAGCTCAGAAAGATTACTTCATACTACTAAAGGAAATAATCACACCACATTTTAAGAGATTTCCTTAAGTTTTCCTTACAGATATCTTTGAAAAAATACATCACTCCACAAACATCTATCCAAAAATACTGTCTTAAACCAAGAGGTTTTCTCTAATTTCTTCTCCCTTGTTTGACTTGCAAGGACAAGAGGGTCCTGGCTGCAAAGGATTCTGCTGACTCTGTCGCTTTACCTACGGCAGTTAAAGCTATGAAGTAGATTTATTTATACAGATATATGGCTACATAAAAGGTAAAAAAATCACAGTTGTAGCATTTCAGGTGGTTGATTTGGTCACCCAAAACAGAATGGCTTCACTGAAATAATAAAAAGCAAGAACACAACGAACATAAAGTAACTGCATTTGTTTGCACAGACAGATCCTTAAATAAGGGTCAGAAGTAAGAGAATCAGCATCAGAAACACATAAACAGTGGCCCTATTTCTAATTACACTGTCCACAACAGCAACAGGGTGGAGCTTTTAAAAACACTCTCCTCCAGTTATATATTTTCTATACATATTGTATATACGCCTTCAACAAGAGGTTTGTAGGTCTGCTATCTCAACAACTATGTTCAAAACCAAAGCCAACAGATACGATGCACATTGAAACCAACAGTGTAAATCTTTAATATTTTGCAAACAATTAACAGATACATGCAATCTGCTTAGAAAAGATAAAATGAGGAATTCCAACAGATTGGCAGGGATACAATCAGGACATATCTACTAGAACACTGCTTTATGTCAACATTAACTAGTTTTCTGAACAGAACAAAAGGGTGTGCATGTGATTAGCTGTGGAGAAGATTAATAACTGTAGACTTTACAACTGCATCTGACAGATGCTGAGGTCAAAATGCTGTCAAATGAGAGGATTCTTACCAGTATCGTAATCCCTTGTTCTTTGCAGAGCATGGCTATTGCACCTAGGATAACACTCACCAGCACCCAGAATATAGAAAAATGATGCCCTTCCTTATCTGTCAAAATAAAGCATGCCATAACATTAGATTTTTAATTTTACCTTTAAATGTATAAACCTAAATTAAAATTAGAATTTAAAAAAATATACAGCATTTAATGTCACAATCTTCTCTATCAGTCAAGATCTAGATACACAGACTTAAAAAGCACAGGGCACCTGCTGCAATATGCTGGCATTTGTCCCTTTATTGCAGTCATTTTCTACTCTCAGAGACATTACGGATTTCCCTATTCGCTAGACATTTTTGCCAGATTAATTAGAATGGCAGAAGCTTCACATAGTTTCCACAATTCATCATCTTCAAAGGTTAATTCCCAATATTGAGACACATTTATCATCCTTAGCTAGGTTCTATCCTTACTGGTCATTCTCTTCCAAGCTACAGCAAGAACAAGAAAGTCCTTCTAATGGTTGCACCTGAAGTGTCACACACACAAGCTGTTTTAACTGTAGTCTAATCTACAAAGGCACAATATGCTGCTTCTCCAGGGCTGCTGCATTTAGCAGGTACCTCGTGTCATTTCATTAGCACTGCAATGGAATGCCACGGAGCTCAAAAATTTCAGCATCTGAGCAGAGAAGCAGTTAGTTCTTGCGCTCAGGAAGCAGTTTTAAAGCAGGGTGAGGCACTCTGGGGTTAAGAGATCAAGAGTAACTACGGCTTCTACTCAAAGAAAGAGTCTTTAAAGACTGCACCACGTAGCTGATTTTAGGTACTACAGGCAGGCCTTTCTGAGATTAATATAACAAGAAGCCCAACTTCAGCCAAGGCACTATCACACACACGGTACATGGGTACTTCACATAAAAACATACCTGTCACAACCTCTACTCCACAGGTGCAAGCAACAGAGGGAAGGAAGCACTCTGCTCATTCAGAGACAGTCTCTTGCTTCAAGCAATATGGGCACTACAGGCATCACAAGAATCAATCTTTGACTTGGCACGTGAAAAAACAAAGTTGAACTCTACATTCATTGACTGAACCCCTTTCCTACTTTCCTTGATCTCTCAAGCAGTTCTTCCCTACTGCTAATGCAGGTTTGACCCTCAGTGCTTAAACAGAACTGTAGTAATGGTCTATGAAAAGGGTAAATGGCAGAATTAAGATTAATTTCACCAGAAGCAGGCACCTACAGCTAAGCTAGTATTCGAGGCTTTCTTTCTAACTAGCTTTATGGATTGTTACCTAATTAAACGTAGTTATCCACCTCTCAGAGGAGTAGCTCGCTCTCTTCACTGATTATAAAGGGAAACTAGTATACTAGCTTAGATGTTATTGGGTCAGACACAAACCATAACCACAAGCATGAAAATGTTTTACTGACATTGCCCTCTCCTCTCATTCTGAAGCAACTGCTTTTGTGGCAGAGAGCAGGAGTTTTCATAAAAATATGTGGAAGAACAGCTTGAGGTTGCTCCTAGCACTCTTTTCGTAACTAAGATTTAAAGTTTCCACGGGGTGTTAAGATGTTTGAGATTCATCACTGCAATACCTAGTAGGCATTTGTTCCTCTTCCTTCCACTCCAAATTATGTCCTCACAGGTGAAGTAAGACTTAACATCAGAGGTGCAGATGTTATAAAGTTAAAAGAAAGCCTTCTGAAGGAAAGGAGTCATATACATCTCAACACCACCAAAACAAAACAGGGAAATATGAAACACATAAGGACTAAACTAAAGAAACACTGCAATCTAAAAACAAACAAAACAAAAGCAACTAGGAAACTCCAGCTCACATCAGTTATACAGAAGAGCTGGGGGTTGCAATTCATGGAGGAAGGAGCTTCAAAACTCATTTTAACAGTATTGCTAAGAATAAAAAGAATCTATCCTAAATTCATCCCTTAAAGGAACTCTCTCAACTATTCAGAACAGTCAAACTGACCGTAGTCTGTTTGACAGCTCTTTAAATTCAGTTTTGGCTGGTTTTTTTTGTATACTTCCTTCTACTTTGATAGTTCTTCTTCCCAGAATTAAATTGTTTGAAAAGAAGTGAGGGCAACTAAGCACTTACCAGAGAGGCAGTATTCAGTGTACAAATACTATCTTAACATGGAAGATAGTAGGAAGTATATATAGTAAGAGACCAGCTGGTGATTCACAAATGCTTTGATGATTCAGAACGTAAGGGTAATCAGAAAAAAGAAACTAAGTCAAATTTTCAAGGACAAGTGTAACAGCAGCACACTCATACAGAAACAAACTTGGAAAGGTCACATAACAAAACAAGAAAAGGTAATACACGTAAAGAAGAAAATCCACAATTCTGCAGATATATTAGTAAGCAGAACTGCAGCAAGGAAGGAGCTATTCCAATACTCAGCGGGAAAGAAAATGGACAATGCCAAGAAAACAGAAGTGCTCTGTGCCTTTTTGCTTCATTTTTTTCCACAAAGAGGTCAGCTGCAATCAGAGGGTAAGCACAACACGAGCCAAAAGGGATCAAGAACAAAAGCAAAAGTAGTGAACTACAAGATACAGAATTTACGGAGAAGTTAATCTGTTTTAAATTATAATGAGTGGTTAAATTCACTCCAACAGGTCCTATACAACCCAGAGTAATCTCAACCAGAGGTAACTCAGAAGTAACTCTGAGAAATCATGAAAAAACATGAGGTTTGAAATAAATCAAAACAATGCCTACGTGCCTAGTTTTAAACAGGAAAAGAGATATGAAAGGATAAGCTAAGGAAACAAAGCTGACTGATCCGAATTACTGAGAAAAAAAAAAAGACTTAAAATATTTTCTAGGTGACCCTCTAAAACATAAAAAGATATTATTATTTGTTTGCCAAAGACATCTTTTAGCCATTTTTATCAAAGTATAATTTCTGTCTTGGATGAGGAAAAAAAGGAAAATAAAGGAGTCTTCCTAATGAAAACAAACTTGTAAACATCCTACACCTTGACTTCATGAAGGCATACGAATACCACAGTAGACAGTGTCAAACATGCCAGAAAAAATAAGGCATGAGGAAGTTATTACAGAATAGGTACAAGTAACAGCTGAAAAACTACACTAAGAGTCTAACTCATTGTGAAAAATGTAAAGACACATTCTGGATAGGGTCTTTCCTTCATCTGGTTCTAATAGATAATTAAAAAAATTTAGATGATGGAATAAGGACACATTGATTAAGTCCCAAGGTGCTGCCAGGCTGCAATGGCCAGGAATCATACTAAGGAGAAGTCAGAATTCCATTGACAAATGGAATTGAAATGCTCTAGCAAAACGGCCTGATAATCATTTGCGATTCAATAGGCACACGCTCCAAGTTGTGCAGAAACAGGTTTGCCTTGTGAGCACTCCAAGCCTCGGATGCCAGGAATGTTTCAGCACATCAAGCGTAGTCAAGCTTAAGTATGGACTCTCAGAGATGGCAAAAGCACCCAGCAAAAGAGAAATAATGAGGGACCCATAATGAGGATATTATGGAAGACAGCATCAAATGCCTGGACTTTAGTAAAACCTTTGACACAGTCTCCCCTAATACACTCATAAAGAAGTTGTTGATATACAGGCTGGATGGGCAGACAGTGAGGTGGAGTGAAAACTAGATGAATGGCCAGGACCAGAGGTTTGTGATCAGTGGCATAAACTAATAAGAGGCCAGTAACTAACCAGTGGTGTACCCGAAGGGTCAATACTGAGTCCAGTCCTGTTCAACATCTTCGTTAACGACTTGGATGATGAGGCAGAGGGCACCCTCAGCAAGTTTGCAGATGACTCCAAACTGGGAGGAGTGGCTGATATGTCAGAAGGTCATGATGTCAGTCAGAGGGACCTTGACCGGATGGAGAAATAGGCTGGCAGGCACCTCATGTTCAGCAAGGAGAACTGCAAAATCCTGCACCTGGAGAGGAACAACCTCAGGTACCAGTTCATGCTGGGGGCCAACCAGCTGAAAAGTAATCTGGCAGGAAAGGACCTTGATTTCAGTAAAGCATTTGACACCGTCTCTCATAGCACCCACCTGGATGTGTTCCTGTGTGTCCTGCTGTAGGTGATCCTGCTTTGACAGGGGGGCTGGACTAAGTGATCTTTCAAGGTCCCTTCCAACTCCTGACATTCTGTGATTCTGTGAGGGTCCTGGTGGACACCAAGTTGAACATGAGCCAGCAACATGCCCTTGTAGAAAAGACAGCTAATGGTGTCCTGAGTTATGCTAGCCAAAGTATTGCCAGCAGGTCAAGGGAGACCATCCTTCTCTCCTCTGCACTGAGGAGACAACACCTGGAGTTCTGGGCTCCTCAGTACGAGAGCCATGGACATACTGGAGTGAATCCAACAAAGGGATGATGTAAGATGATGAATGGACTGGAGCACGTCTCCTGTAAGGAAACGCTGAGAATTGGGACTGTTCAGCCTAGGGAAGAGAAGGGTTAGGGCGATCTCATCAATGTGTACAAACACCTGCAGGGAAGGTGCAAAGAGGACTCTGCTCAGTGGTGCCCAGTGACAGGACCAGAGGCAACGGGCACAACCTGAAACACAGGAGGTTCCCTCTGAACATCAGGAAACACTTTTTTACTGAGAGGATGGTCAAGCACTGGCACAAGTCATACAGAGAGGCTGTGGAGTCTCCATACTTGGGAATTTTCAAAAGTCATCTGGACACAGTACTGGACAACTGACACTAGGTGACCCTGCTTGAGCATGTCAGCTCAGGTCACCTCCAGAGGTCCCATCCTACCTCAACCATTCTATGATCAAGATCTCCTCCTAAAACCCACACTCCGTTTCTTTGTTTTCTTTTGCAGCCTTAAAAGGTAAATACAGTCATATACAGAATTTTAATATTATGAAAATTCATCAGTGATTAGACTTCAAAGAATTTCAATTAAGAAACATTTTATCTTGCACTTGTTCCTTGTGTTGTCGACACAAAACTCCATTGTCCCCACCACATCCATCCCCTCCCCTGCCTTCCCCTCCACCCCACTCCCTCGTAGAAATCTCAGTAAACTAGGCTGGAAAAATAGGTACAAAAG